TCAAGGCATGACCTGTAATGTTAATAGACTTGATATCAAATAAGGTAAAAAAAAGTTGTGACAGCATAAAGTTATCACATGTGTACCCCAGTGAGGAATAACAGGTTAGCATTCTTAGTGTGCTGAATAGATAACCTAATAACCTATGATATATACAACATCCTGTACCCAATGCCTGTGTATATCTTAGCCAAGTACTCTCAAGACCTTTGAATAAAATGTAATTTAAAAGAAATGTCATCAAAGGAAGGAATTTTCACACCTTTAAACCAAGGTGCACACTAATCCACTGCACGTAAAATAAACAGTTAAACTTAGTACTATAATCTTGAATGACTGATGTTAAATGTCTCTAAAATTGTACTTTTAAATATTAGTACTTGATATACATTATGACTTGTACAAATGAAAACCTGAATTCTGCAACTTTACTAAACTAACAGGTAATATCTAATGACATGTACTGATATTCTGAAGAGTAGGAGGGAAGACTGGAGCTCACTGAGAAAAGGTTTTCAGGACCCAAGAAAATAGATGGTAAAAGTTTCAGGACAAAAGTATTGTTGAAAAATTTCATGCCCCTATACACCAGCGAAAACCTTTTCTTAGGTACCATGTATTTCATAATCACAGAGTTATAAATATAATCTATCTGATGCATATATAATTAACAACTCGGTCTTGCCTCAGTGGTGCTTACATGAATCATAATGTTAGGGGTTTCAGATATAGGCCAATAGAATCGTCAAACTCACAGGCTATTGCTTTTTTTCTTGCTTTATACCACTAATTATATGTATGAATCCATTTTTCAATTAACAAATTTAAGTTAATAAGTATACTCACCAATTAGATATCACATCACAAACTGTTTTATTTTCTCTAGTCTTCATAATAGTTGTTTAATATTTAGGTTTTATATATTTTAGTCTATACATCTCATACTAGGTAATGAAATCTGAAATAAATCAAAGATCTTATGAAATATTCAAATTCAATTGTAATTAATTTTTTGCAATGAATTTACATTTAAGCATGAATGGATTAAAGAAGATGACTTTCAAATCTAATTTTGCAGAGATCAAAATACTAAAATCTACTTAACTCTAACAATGTCTTTAGATCTGAAATTTGCAAATAGAATACAAGACAATAATGAATAATTCTAATATCTAAATACAAACAACTTCAAGTCATAAAAATTTAATCTAAGTGATGTTCAATTGAATGATGTGGATTTTGTTTGTGATCCGAGGATCAGCTTCTTTGTTGCCTTTACATAACAATTAACATTGAGGTAAATAGTGGAGATTACTAGTTATTTATCAGTTTAATACAAAACTAAGTCTTATATAAAATATAACAATAAGATATTTACTTTGGGATGTATACTATCCTATATAGATTACAATAAGTAAGGAAAGTAATTATTTACATTTTACAGGCTTTATACCATAAGTAATTACAGTACACATCTTTTCTACTTTTTTTAGACCTTGTAGACTATTTGTTTTAAATTATCATGGCGATATCATGATGAAAAATCTACAAAATTGTTAAAGGAATACTACCTCTTAAATTGAACATATATTTAAGAATTTTAAAGTTGGCCAATAAGAGCATATATTCATCAGTAGATTTACATGTTGTCATACATAACATAACAGGATCCTAATGTAATCCAACAAATCCAAAAAACATAGTAATTATCCATAAATATGTAATTAACTACTGAAAAACACTTAACAATAAGATGAAGCGTTTTTCAATAATAACTCAATTTTTATGAATATAAAGATTTTCTAGATTTTACAGGGATTCTGTTGTAACTTTATGAAACCAGGTAAGTTCATTAATGAATATATACTCATATTGACCATTCTTGAGAACTTATATTTTATGTTTATTTTAAGACATAGTATCACTTTAAGTGCTCTTAGCCTTATTTCCAAATCTCAAATAAGGTCTTATAATCAGCAGGAATTAACTTTGGTTTATTATATTGTAATTTATGTTATAACCAAACTTACATTTCCAATATATCAAAGAAATCTAATCACATAGATGCAGACTCTGTGGAAAAGAAGGAGTTGAATTCAAAAATTTTCATCAAAATGATAAGAACAACATTTAATGGTGTTACAAATTGCAATTTTCAAAAATGGAAACTTTCTTTTTGATAATTTTGTAACCACCCAAACATCTAAATTGAGTAAGTTTTGGTACAATGTTTTACTGTCAACAAAAGCCATTTTAATTGAACTGAATTCATAACAAAAGATATTCTTTATTTCTTCTCTATCTTCACTAAATGTCAACAGTCTTGTGTCAATAAAACCAAGTTTTTCTAAATGTTTCTTTGTTAATTTATTAATTCTCCACCCTTCTCCTTTCCTTACAATACTAGTCACAATCATTATTTACTTCTACCAATTACCGTTAGTTTTCAAAGGAAACAGGGAAAATATTCCAAAACTAAATTATGGAACAGAAACGAAAAGTCAAAACATTGTTAGCTGGCTTAACTTTTCTGATTTTACAAAATCATAAGACAGCTGAAATTTGAAGTTTTACAAAAAATAATGGTACCATTAGTCAGTTATGTTGTTAACTTTACATACCTTTAAAACAATAAATATATTAAATATATTCCACAAAATTAATCCAAGTAGGCCTATATATATCCAAGATTATGTCAACTTCGCTTAAATCCATACAAATTTTGCTTTTTAGTATAACAATTTAAAATGACTCTGAAAAGTCCATCTTTTAAATGATTTGAGATAAAGGCAACAACAAAGAGTAAGATAATTTAGAATGTATTGAATTATAAATGTTTGTTAAGCATGACCAGATAAATTTATCCACGGCAATTATAACCAATCACCTACGTGAAGAAAAGTCTTAGGCCAATTTTCTAAATCAACAATTTACACAGTGACTCGCTTGAGTAAATGTTTAAATAAAAAGCTGATATCTTACAAGATTATTGTACAGGGAGTCTCACACGTATGTCACTTCACTTAATGGGCAGAAATTCTCTTGAAAAATTTTGCTTTCTGATAACCATCTTGATTTAACTCACATGATATAGCAGACATGAGATCAGGGCCTGTCCATGCAAGCAACATTTGGCATTTTGTGAGTTGAGAAATAAATTATGTGATTTTTTTGAGGTTGAGCTAATTTTCCCCAACCCAATTTACTCTCACCCTACCTACATGCTCTCCCCCTTCCTAATCAAATACTAGACAGTGACTGGACTATCCCCCTTTCCACTCTACCCCTACCCAACAAAGTTTTTAAGCTTAATCTATGATGACCAATATGATAGTCAATAGTATTTAGCAGAAATTGCATTTAAAAATTTTTTAGCACCAACTACAAAATTTTCTTCTTATTTTACAAAAATGTTGGTAACATTTTTTAGTTATGGCCTTCCACTACACTCTTGATATTTTACTAGCCCTAATTGACAATATTCTATGTCATAAACTTGATCTCTTTACAGATCATATTAATTTGATAGGCTTTAACTTGTTCAATTAAAAAAATTGAAGGGCTCTTACATGGGATTAAGGGATTTATTCAACCATATAAGCTGGGAAAATATATACCAAAATAAACAAATGTTCAATAATCCAGTTCAAATATAGGTTCCCACCAATTAAATTATTTGACTTTGGGTCAGTAATTTGTTGAAAGTGAACAAAGTTTCTGTATCATATGAGGTGTTCGTGAATTATCTAATTTTGGGACCCATCTCCTCACAGAAGTGTCTTTACGAAGGAGCACATGTAGGGAATTTGACCGTTCGCATATTCACACTGGATGACTGGGAATTCAGTAACATCCAAGAAGGTACCTTTCTTTCTCTAATATTTCTGAGAGCTATAAAGATACGGTGTCATCAATTCAACTGAAAAGTTCTTATGCCGCTATACTCTGCAATCGAATTCGCAACTATGGTCCGACCCCTTTTGAATAAAACTTGCGTACGCCACTGGTCCCCCCCGCATTGAAAAAAACGATCTGCGCCCCTGGGCCTACACTTCTTTGAGGATTGTTTTCTAAAGTGAAGGCAAGGACTAAATCATAGCCTAATGGCATATTGCTGGACTAGATGGTAGCCTAATTGGAAATGATTTGTAGGCCTACGACTTAACCAAAATAAATCAAGGTGTCGTTTCAATTTCATCAAAATTTCATCTGAATGGACAATAAGACTTTAAAACTTTAAGAGATGATTTCTCATCATTTATTATTTGTTTGGAAATGAATCACCTGCCCGATTGGAATGTCAAGGTCAAGTGTGTAAGGCATGAAGCAGATTTAGTAGTCTTTAATGTAATGTAAAACATTCATAATTGGTCTAATTGCTGCTATAATTTATATTTGAAATATCGGACATATTAAATCTGAATTACAGATCACTATAGATTTAGAACATTTAACCACTAATTTCAAAATGTGACCTTGAAATATGGCGGGAAAATATACCTGTCGCGGAAGGTTACTTCTGTAGAGTAGCTTCCGTTTTCATTAAAAAAAAGAGTTCTCTACACTGTCGTGTTTTGATAGATTATTAATTATTTAACTATAATTCAGGGCTAGCTCCATAAGGATTGTGAGTTTAAGAATGTTTTTGAAGAACCCGTCGTCAGTTCTAACACTAAATAAACGAATCTTATGATTTGACACATTGATATTCGTACGCCTTATCAACATGGCTGCTGAAATGTGATATTTTGATGACAGTCACAAGAATTCTCTTCGTTTTCGTTTTAGATCGAATACTATTTGTTGCCATTAACAGTTCATATTGAAGTAAGTGTATTTTTGTACATATGGTTAAATTTTAAATCAATTTAATGCAAGCTGTCAATGTCATGACAAGCGCAAATGAATCATTATATTCTGTAACAGAAACCAAACAAACTTGTTTTGTGGGGTTGTCTGCACGCCGCTGCATGTTTTGATTTAGAAAAGCATGACTAAATATGGTAAGACTTGAAATGGCCCTCGAATAAACTGTAAGCAAAGGTTTTAACTTGATATTTAATTTTTTGTGCTGAATATGGCCTAAAACTTCCCAAGCCAATATATGATAGGATCAAAGGAAAGAGTTCCTGTGTTTGTAATTGTAATTTGTAGTGCTAGTAAATTCTTTCCAATTGCTTAACTGTCTGTTGATGACCAACATGTTATATTAACAGTCTTCAATATTTTGATCATTGTTAGGCCTAATAGATATTTTAGGAACAGGCCCATTATAGCCTACTGTAATTGAAATATTGGATAATGAATAAATTTTTTTCAATTTTTGCGAAACAAATGCAAAGGCCATAAAAATGCATACAGGTCTTGGTAATTAATGTTACCTATTATTGTATTTATTTTTAGGCAATGGCATCTGGAGGAAGAAAACCATTCTCTCTGTCTAAGTTACCCCAATCTGATAGTAGACCTACCAGATATTCTGCAGGAGATGATCAAAATGATGCTGAACCTCAGATGAATTCCTCAAAGAAAAATGTCCCTAAAGAAGTTAGGATTAATAACTGGGTAAAAGCTTTCTTTCTCAACTTCGGCGCAGTATTTGTTATTTATATAAGCTTAATTCATATGTAACTGAATTTTCTTGTTACAATTTTAAGGTTAAAGGATAAGCTTGTGTCCATACAAGAGAAAACAGCAAAAGCAAAATGATACATTATTCCTAGAGTAAACTTCATTGAGGTTACTACTTAAAAGCTTATTTTAAATACTGGTATTCTAATAAATAACCCGTGCAGAAAAGTAAGACATAAAACTCCATACATTTTCACTTCATTTTCTAATAAATAACCAGATGATTTAATAACCCATACTTTTTCCTTCAGGATTTTGCTGATTGGAGGCCAAATTCAGCTTCTACTGATTCCAAAAGAAGGAAGAAGTCAAAAGGCAATCCAGAACGTGAAAGAGAACAATCTTTATCATTAGATTCTCCTCCTCAGAGAGACAAAAAACCTAGGACACCATCAACGTTTCCTCGAACCAAAATTGGACCATCCACTCCTACTTCACAGAAACGAGCTCTGGAAAATCTTCGTAGTAGAATGACATTTAGTGAAACCGATGAGGTAGGTTTTTAAAATATTGTATTGTAATGTTTTAGTTGCACTTGCTTGATAGCTGTAATTACACCTGAAAGATTTAGAGGATTTATTTGACAATTGGAATTAGCCTTTATTGAATTGACTATTAGTTGTATGAATTTATTTTTCAAAATTTGTTTGTTATACTTTTTAGGGAAGCACTGATGGTGAACCAAATAATGAAAGGGTAGTTTCAAAACGTCGTTTGAATCCTCCAAATTTTTCACGTCAAGACACAAATAGTACAGAAGAGGGTGCTAGTCAAGCCAATTTAACCAATCGTAACAACAATAGAGATAACTCTGTCCAGGATCTTGGGGTAATTTTCTTGTTATAGTTCTAGTAAATATATCTAGTTGTAGAGTTGACATGATCTGGGGTATCATTAAGCTTTCTGTATACAATAAGTAAGTTATCTGTCTTGTGAAAAAAAGTTTTTATAAATTTCTTTCAGTTGTACTGAGTACTGAACAGTGGTAAAAATAGAGTATTGATTGGTTAATATTTAATTAAGTCTTTCATGACTTGTATTATTAAGCTATTTAATTATTGATAAGATTATTTTACCTGGCTAATTAATTTACAACTAGCTCCAATTCCTATATATATTGGGAGTTTACCTGTCATTTTATGTGGGCTTTCAATTCATGAAACTGAATTTTTTTTGTGCTTAAATATTTCTTGCTTTACCAATTTGTAAAAAAAACATTTTTTATCCATTATTTTATTGGCTTTGATATATGAAGCAAATTTGAATACAATCTGTGGGAAGGAGGGATATCAGACTACATTCATTGAATGTCAGAATCATCATCTTGTGGATCTTGCTTAAACTTTTTGACACTCTCAGTGCTCAAATTGAAGCTTAAATTACACTTTTGTTTCATTTCTATTTATGAACATATTTGTCATTTATGATTTTTGACTAATTGACGTTATTCATGCTGTTGAATGTGAGATATGTTGAGAATTATAATTGCAGTTGAAACAATTTATAACAGATAATATTGATACGTATGTTGAGCAGCACACTTATTATGAATTACACGAATATCCACTTTGATAAATTAAAGATCAATAAGAGGACTATTTGTATTTTAGTTGGATAGTAATCAGATAGTGGGAAGATTGATGCAGATTAGAGATTATATAAAACAAGCTAACACAATGAGAGATACTCTTAATAAATCCAAGGAGGCTGTGAGTTATATTTTTACTTATTATAGTAATGTGGGTGGAAAATATATGAAATGACTGACCAAGATCAATAATCTTGATTGCAATGGGAAGATCTTGAATTTTAGTTTTAAATTACAAAATGTCCTGTCATTTTAGTTGTCATTTTCTACAGTTGCATCAGATATTATTTAAAAAAAGAAATATAACTTGTTCATTGATAATTACCTTCTTTGATTGGATAACAATATACTTGTGCTAAGTTCGTAACTTTTATTTTTCAAAGGTTTATTTCAAAACCGGACCCTTCCAGTATCAATTTGTCCATGTTGTCTTGTATTCTAGAGAGATAAAGAGAAAGTGATTAAATTAAAACATGTGATTGATAATTTAGTGAAACAGGAAATTTATACACTGGAAACTTTACACCAGTTGTCGGTTAGTGTTGTTCCATGGTTGATATTAAGATCTTCTGAATTGCTGGAATAGAATATTGCCCTTACTCCATGATTAAAACTTGGCATTTTACAGAGCTAATATTATATTTGGATTTAGATTTCATATTGGAATAGTTCCAAATTGTATTAGATACTTTAAGAAATCAAGAGTTAAAACGTCTGCTCATACCAGCAATTCAGAAGTCTTCATATGTTAAGTTTGACTGATATTATTTTGGAATGGTTCTGAATATTTTTCTAGAAAAGTAATAAAGATGATATGGATAAGTTGAAAAAACTTGTAGATAATTTAAAGGATCAAGAGAGGGGCTATATGGGCTTACTTCAGAGAATGTTGGTGAGTGAATGAGACAATTGGTGACATTGTAGATCTATCAAACAAGCTAACACTTCCAACAAACTTTTTTTTTCGTTGGAAGTTTGTTAGAGGGATTAGAGGGAATATGTTAACATTTCTTGAATTTTTAACTTTCAGATACATATAGTTTTCATAATTCACTGATCAATTCCTGAATTGGAATAAAGTTCTAATTTACAGTCATATGTAATATTTTTATTCACATCAAATTATTTTTTGTCAGCTGCTTATCACTGCTTTTCTCTGCACTTAGTGTAAAAAAGATACTCTCATAGATCTTAATTGCTGTTATCAAGTTGATTTAGATTTTAAATCTTTGTTGATATTTTGCAGGCATTACGCGATGAAGGTGTATTAGAGAATGGTAATGGTACACTTCATGCATTATTACCTGATTTAGAAGACAATGATTACAGTGATAATAATAATGATAATGACAATGATGATGATAATGAAGATAATAAATCAGAATCAGATGATACAGTGTCTGTTGATTTAGAGGTACAAACTAATGCTTCAGACACAACAACAGTAAGTTCTTGTTGTTTGAATGTTATGATAAAAAGTATTTGTAAACAATGATTTATTCACATGAAAGTAAAAGTGATTTAGGATTATCTATGATAATCTGCATAATACAGCCTGTCTCAACTTTTTTGTCAATGCTAGTTAGTTTAGAAAAAAACATGTGAAATAATCCTCATATTCAAATTCTTTGAATGTGACATCTTGTTAATTGTAGATTCAAATGTCGTTTATGCAGTTTTTGTTGGTGTATTTTTGTTATGTATGATTTTCATATCTTTCAGGAGGAGCGTACCAATAGTTCATCATCACGACCCTACATAGAAGATAAACTTGGTGATACAGATGATGAAAACGAAAGTAGACGAAGTTCTAAAGAATCTAATAATATGGATAATACACTGGTAGCACAACGTAATGCACAGGCTGTTGAGTGGGATTTTGGAGTTGACTCGATAGATGTAAGTATTAAAATGATGTAACAGTATTTGATTATATATATATGTATTATTAAAGTCTTTGAACATCACAAAAGTTTCAATAGTACATTTCTTTTTCTATGCCAGTAAAAACTCATTTGAAATTCTACTCTCTATAGATTGACTAATGTTTACGTAAAGTTGAGGTAAACTTCTGATTTCAGGGTTTAGACAATCTTCTACCAGGCTCTTTAGATGCCATGAGAGCAAATGAACTTGCAGCTTTACAACAACAACAAAACCTACTGAAAATACTGGCTGAAAAACAGGAACAATTACGTGCTCTTCAAGGTAGACAGGATGCTCTGGTAGCTATGCATAAAGAAGCAGAGAAGAAACTACATATAGCACAAAATAAAGAGAACAAAGGTCAGTTTAAATATCTCAATACTACATGTTTCTGACTAAAATGGATATCGTAGAGTTCTGTCTAATTTCTATTAAATCAGTTGACATTGTCAAAATTCCTTGAAACACAAGTCTTCTTGATTATGTAAAGCTGGGAAATTTTGAAGATCTGGTCAGAAACAGATGTGAAAAAAGTAATTGCTCTACATTGTCCTGAAACACTTTATATGATAAAATGTAAAGAACATAAGTCTTACGAATTAAGGTAGGACTATAGGCTTACCTGCAGAACAACCATAGTACGATTAATCTTCCATATTTTTTTCAGCTAAAGCAGCAGTAAAAACAGCATCTGAAGCTGTACGTCATGCCAGTAATAGTAATCCTAATTTAACACCCACTGATGATGTAGAAGAGGACCCTGAAGCAGAGTTATCATCTACCCAAACTCAACTAGAACAACTTGTGAGGATGAAAAACAGACTTGAAATGTTAAAAAATGCCTCCACAGAACTGGTAAGATTATGTTATTTTGCTCCTCAAGTATGTTGGTTTCTGAGTTATTGCCCTTGACTTATAAAAAATACGTTAAATTTGCCTTGTATGCATGCTAAAAGCTAAAAATTGTATCTGATCTTGATGAAGCTTAGTATGCTTGTAGATATTGATCAGACCTCAGTCAAGTTCGAAATTGGTAATAATCAGATCAACGGTTTCAGTTGTTGCCCTTGACTTAATAACAATGTGTTAGATTTGCTTTGTTTGCCTGATGAAGGCTACAATCCCCTCTTGATGAAATTTAGTATGCATGTATATAATGATGAGATTTCGGTCAAGCTCGAAATTAGTAATAATTGGATGAATGATTTCAGGGTTATTGCCCTTGACTTAGTAAAAACACGTCAAATTTGGCTCTTGTAGGCACTCTATAGACTACAGTTTTTATCCGATCTTGATATGCATGTACATTTTGATGAGATCTCGAGCTAAAAATGGTAATAATTGGATGAATTATTTTGGAGTTATTGCCCTTGAATTAAATCAATGTGTCTAATTTGGCTTGTAGGCACAATAGAGGCTACATGGTTTATCTGATAACGATGAAACTTGGTATGCATGTATAGATGGACAAGATCTCAGTCAAGTTTGAAATTGCTAACAATCGGATGAACTGTTATTGCCCTTGAATTGAAAATGCGTCTAATTTGGCTTGTTGGCTTGATAGAGACTACATTTTATATCCGATCTTGATGAAACTTGGTATCAAAATTGCATCAAAAAACTGCCTCATTGCTAATTATCCTAAGCAGATTACTTATTGACAAAATAGATGAAAATGGTGTATGACAGGTTATGAAAACTATAAATAATGATCTTTGTAGAGTCATCAAATCCTGTCAATATCCTATGAACACCTCAATAATTTTTTTTTTTATCATACTACACAATTTTTAGGCTGCTGAAGAAGAACAAGCTGGGAATGATATGGCTATATTACAAACAGCTACAGATGATGAGCCTGGACGCCAACAGCTACAAGATAAACTGGAAGATTTACAAGACAAGAAAGACAGAATGAATGATCTGTTGATGGAATTACAAACTCTGCGATCACAAAGATTCGAAACTTTGTTACAAAATGGTAAGATATTTTGAAAGATCTTAGGTGGAGAGTGTGTTCACATCTAATCTGTGGCTAACATAATGCATTACATTGTTTGTGTTGACATTTTCAGTTGATGACATTGAATTTCTTGACCATACTTGCTCCTGCTTATTCATGCATGTTGTAGTATAATGATTGTTTCCTTTCTTATTTTAGATAGTGAGGGAGCATCAGCAACAGCACCGGTAGTTGCTCCTCCTGCCCCAAACAGTAGATCATCATCTCAAATCAAACTAACTGACGCTTTATCTACACTAGACCAAGCTGACTCTACAGCTGAATCTGCTGAACAAGTTTTAAGTATGATGGATGCCCAGACAAAACTAGAGTAAGTTATTTTTGTCAATTATGACTTTTGGAAAGAGTCATCAACTATAACAGCTGTCAACAATTATCAGCTCAACAGAGATAATATCAGATAGCCTAAACTTTTGATGATCATGATTTTAATAAAACTGACAAGACTAGCAGAGCTAATTATTCTGTCCAACCAACTTTTTATATTTTTTGTAGGAAACTTCAAGAAGTTAAAGGTAGATTAGATCAGTTAAGAGGATTAGTACAGTATTACCAGGGTAATAAGACTAGATCTGATGGTGATGGTGGTGAAATCAGAGACCAATCATCAGCACCAACTTACAGTGATTATGGAGATACAGAATCTTTAGAAAATGCCAGGTATACACATCTTCCAAAGGATTATGGTTATTGTGCTAACCAAATATAATGTTCTATCCAGGCATTATTTGAGCTTGTACCATAAAATACTTGAACTTAAGTCCCTTTGTCTGAGGGTACGAGGCCTTTGTATTTTAGGCTGTGAACCTTTCGATCAATGGAAAAGTTTCTTATATTTGTCAATTACTTTTATATTACAGAAGAGCTCCAATTGATGCTGAGAAGATATTTCAAACTGGTAGTCAACTGAATGTTTTAGGTAGCGTACCTGGTGCTACCTCTAGACGAAGAGCTGATCTTGATTCTCAACAATCTGATGAGGAAAATGCCTCTGTGAATGATTCTCAAATGTCAAGTTTAGGTCCCTGGGGTGATGAACCAGAAATCAGAGAAAAAGTCAGGTATTTAAGAAATATACAGTAATAAAACTTGTAGAAAAAGAGTGTTATAATTGCCCAGTTATGTGTATTTATACATAAAATGAAGATCAAATTAAGATTTAGTGCTTTCTGATAATTTGTTAGGTGTGAATTATTAAAAGTGTTGAGCTAAAGGCTTGAAAAGTATTTGCAATATACATAGATCTCTTTGGCAAGGGAGATGAAAGTGCTCGCTAGGCTTCTAAGGCACATATAAATTGTAATTGAATCCAATTAATATGTAGTTAAAGTCTGCAATATTACTTTTTAATTGGTCTATAATATTCTTTCAGACAACTAAAAGCAACTAAGGAGAAATTACAACAATTACAAGATTTAGTGAGTATGTGCCAACAATCACCTGACTTAGCCCAATCGCTACCTGATAATATTACTGAAGATGATAGACCGTCACTATTAACCGCTCAACAAACTGAAGAAAGAAATATCTCCCTTAGTGAGGGGGAAATACCTAATGATTCACAGAGGTAGGTTACTTTTTATTCTGTTTTAAATTTCTTATACAAAGCACGAAAAAGATGTCACTTCAGGGGCATTCCATGTCAAGTATACACACCCTTCTGACGCTAATTCTTCATTTTCTTGCCATATTTAACCATTCAAACAGGTGCAATAACTCACTATACCAATTTTGAGACCTTGGGGCCCACTAGGGCTCATTTTTTTACTGATTATGTAACTTCTGCTTGAAGCAGTTTTTGGTCCTACAGACAGATGGATATCAGAAATGTTTAGAATATTTGTTAAGAGCTATTTTGTTTATATGTCAAAATAGTCTAAACCTCATAGGAACTCATGATAATTTATAAGATAAGTATACATCGAGAAAAGCTATTTCCTATTCCTATTTTCCTATTTTCAGTGGTTTACCTGAAGCAGAATCTCTGTTTAGTGTAAAAGAACAAATAAAAGAATTATCTGAGTTGAAGAAAGAAAGAGAAAGATTATTAGCTCTACAGAATCAACTTCAATCTCTTCAAGGACATTTCGATCCAGTATGTAAATGTGTTCTTTTTTATTGTCGTTCTCATATGTAGAAATAGTCTGAGCCTGATTTGAATATCTCTGTTATTGTTGTCATAGAAAGAATTGATGAGCTTAGTTTATTTAATGGTTTGAAACATGAATATATGGCAATTAAACCTATATAAGTCAGACCTATTTTGTTTTCATGATCATCTATAACTTTCTGAAATTAAAGTCTATTTTTTAAGATTTGTAAGAATAAGAATTTATTTGTATTGTGTAGGAAGATAATGATAATATAAGTGATGATGGAAATGATACAGAAACCAATAAAAAATCACGATCTCAATCAGAACCAGGACCTGTTGTTACTTGTAAGTATTATTATTAAAGCTATTGTTATGACCTTTATTTCCCAGAGTAATTTTCAAATTTAAGTGTAAGGCAACACAACGATTTGATATAGGATAAATAAGTTTAAACTTTTCTTTTGAGAAACAGGCTCCATGCCACTTAAAGTATTCAACCAATATTGTTTCATTGCAAGATTTGCCAATGATGTGTTTAAAATTCTTGACTTTTTATTGTTTAGCATTGACATTTTAAAAGGCTTCAAACAAGACATGCCAATATTTAATTCCAATGTAGTGTATTTGTCTAACTCTAATATCTGGATATTACTAGACAAATGATATCATGTAAATGATATACTCTTTTTCTAGTTGCCTCCAATGATGAACTGTATAGTAAAATGAGGAAACAGAGAATGTTACGAGAAGAATTGAGATCTAAAAAGAAAGAATTAGAAGCTATAATGAAGAAAGATAGAAATAAACGACAATATTTTAAAAATCAAGATAATCAAAGTGATACTGTCTCTTATTCTACAGATGCTTTTGGGTAAATAGATATTTTGCCTGTCAATGTTTAATGCAAATTTATTCTTTAAGATTGAAAATGATATTGTCTTCTGTCAGTGTACACTTATTCCTTACTAGTTTTTTTTAGCTAATCCAGTGCATGGAAAGTTGGAAGTATATGTTACAATCAACACATGTCAAATGTTAACATATTATCAAATATTTTCCCAATGTTCAAGATTTTGTAAAATTATGTTAAAGTATGGATAGAAGCTGATCTAAACCTTTGACGTTTTTGTTATATAGAGCAAGCGCCAGTGCTGATGCTACAATGGCGACTTGGGGTGGTTCAACTGTAGATAATCTAGAGAATATAACTGAAGGTAGAGATGATAATGATGATGATGATGACAATGACGATGAAGATGATGGTAAGTGAATAAGCTGAAAGGAACAGCCCCTTATTGATGACTTACCCCAGAATTAGGTCTGCCATGTTGCATGGTTGAAAGAGGCTAAAATTTCAATTGAAAACATTTCCACCAAGTTCCTTCTGTTAGTGATGCAGATGAGAGGTACTGACAATGAAAATCAGGGCAAATAACTGAGGCCATAAGTGTTTGACTGTTCTCTAAAAAGATCCCTTGACATTAAGAAATCAAAAGAGAATAGGATACTAATTTTAATGTGATTTGAATTTGTACCAAAATGTAAAATGCAGACCCTTTCTATATTGTAGCCTACCCTAGTGATGGTATTGTACAAGTAGAAGAGGAAGAAGAAGTCAATGGTAGCGATAATAATACCTATACTATAGAAGCTGATGCCAGACAGAGACGAGCTGCTAGATCTAAACCTACACAACCTGATGTTAGACCTAAAGCTAGAAAAATAGCCACCTTTCCTAGATCACAGTCTGCTAGAGAAGGTAAGGGTGTAAGCCACAAATAAGCATAATAGATATGTAATGGTTGAAATTCAAAAGCCTTTAATGCAGGACCTGGTTTATAGTCTGAAAACAGAAATCTGTGACTGGAAAAACAAATATATAGCAGAATTATGAATTATGTACTAAAATTTTGGTTTTGTATCTTGTGTTGTAATGATTTTATACCAGTTCTTATTGTAGTTAATTTGAATTTCAGAAGTTCTAATGGCATCACAGAGTGGTAATGTAGGGAAGAAAGGAGCTGTGAGAAAAACTAAGGCTAACAAACGAACAAAACAAGAGGTAAGATTTACTGACAATTGGTATGTAAGAGGGTCTCTTATGACCAAAATTAAGCTCTGTTTTGACCATAGATAAGTCCTTTTTGACCCAAATTGGGTCTTCATTCCTATGGTTCTGTTTGGACTATAACCCTTTTGGTACTAATAGCCAATTTTCAATTTCATTAACTCATTAGCTAACTATCTATCTTGTCTTTTGTAGAACTACCGATCAGCAGAAGAAATAGTACGAGATGTAGAAGTAGAAGACAGTTCTAGATTAGATCTGATACAACAACAAGTACAACAAACTTACCAATTGTTACAAGAACAACATCACAATAATACATTACAGGGTACTCTGTCTCCTAATACTAGTGGTAGGTCATATACTTAGTTTTTTACTAAAATGTCTGAAGCACTTAGCTTGGTTGCAGTTGTTTCCCTTAATTTGACAATGCGCTTCAGTACGTGGGGGAACTAATGCAAAGCATTACCTGGATACTCTATAACAAGAATTGATTTGTTTAGAAATCTATCAATTGAAAAGCATTTTTGTCTTGAGGTTGAACCATATACTTTTTGACCTAGGCTTCAGAGGACATTTAAATCTGTCATCATCTGGTTTATGAATAAGAAAAATCTTTTTTATTTTTCAAGGTTTAACAATGGGAAATCCTATGAGACCAGCTGCAGGCATGTATCCAGATATGTTACAACAACAGATGTATCAACAGCAGATGATGATGTCCATAAACCAGTGTCATCAACAACTGAACTTACAACAAATAGAGATGTCTAATTTAAACCATCATATCCAACAGATTAGTTTATATATACAGGAACAGCAACACCACCATCATCATCACCCAATTAACTCTACTACAGACGACAGAGATCACAGTCGTTTAACACCTCTAGCTACTTCATCCCAGACACATATCTCACCACATCATCATCTACCACCACCACCAACAAGACAATCTACTTTTACACTTAATCCCCAGTTCCCTCTATCTTTCGCTCCAGTAGAGGGCTTATCACCACGTCAGCATTCAAGCCACAGGATAACGTCTAGTAGTCCTTCTCGTCAAGACGTGCCACAACCCCAGACTAACAATCTACGTCCTATACCACCTCCTAGGCTTGATTCCTACCAACAGAATAGTAATGTCAACAATTTCCTGGGTAGAGATAGTCAGAGAGATGCACGACCTAAAACTAATGGTGAATATGGCAAACCAAAGAAAAGGTAAAGCACTAATTAAATAATTATAGTCTATAAAGAGAGCATTGATACAGCAGAAAACAATCTTTTGTAACTATGTGGTATCTACTTATGCAAAGTATGGTTCAAAGTCCTTACCGTTGCCTTGAAAAATCTTTAAAGTATGTGGTTCCTATTGTTGGCTTTATTTAAATAAGACAGTAGGAAGAGGATAGTGATTACTTGATTTCTCATTTTTTTTTTTTTTTTCAGTAAAGACCGTCCAGAAGAAGGTAAGTGTATTATATCTGATATTTTATTTGCAATTAGTTAATCAATATTTAAATATTGATGGTTTGAAGATGGAGGCAGCAAGTGTTAACTACAAAAATTATCAATTGTTTGTGAATTGTATTGTTTTATTTGTACTCTATGTCATGGAATCACTATCAAGACAAGATACATTCTGATGTACTAGTGTCCTAATAAATATAATATTATTTGTTATTAAGATTATGAGAGAAGTAGTCAGGGTCATGGTGGACAAGCAGGTAAAGATGGCAGGTATAGACCAGGGTTAAGTTCTGGTATTAGTGGTACAGCATTCAGTGATAGTAATAGTGTGACTGATGCTCTATCTGCTAGACTGGGAGAACCTAGAAACAGGTATGTTTTCTTACATTTCAACCCTGTTTTATTCAAAATCTTATCAAGCTCTTAATATATTGCAATTTTCTAATGTCAATGTTAATCTGAAGACATCAACTATCAGTAAATCAATTCAACCATCCAAATACTTTGTTTATTAAATTTGAATACCACTGGTACAGAATTCTGGGATATCTATGATTTCTTTGACATATAAAGTAGCGCTTGATTGGTTAATTCGAAAACATTCAGTTTGTTCCAATTTTGGCCTCAGGTGAACAGTACAGAACTAGATAGATTTTGTACCATTTTGAATTAACCCACTATTTTGTTCTGAATCCTGTTTCTGTTTCAACTTGTCCAGTTGATTCCATGAGTCCTGAAAATGACAAAGTAATCATATTTTAATTAAATTTTTGATGTATTGCAGGGATGGTGATGCAATGGAACTATCTCTGTTTGAAACATTACGAGAGACCATTTATTCAGAAGTCGCTACTTTAATATCCCAGAATGAAAGTCGTCCTCATTTTCTAATAGAATTATTTCGAGAATTACAACTATTATCCAGTGATTATCTGAGACAGAGGGGACTATATGCTATACAAGAATTAGTTTCTAAAACTTTATCTTCTGAAGATAATCCCTATGCAGTAAGTAATCCTTGATTAGCATGGGTTGCTCAGATTATAGATATATTTGTGAATTTACTAATTGGGCTTAGATAACAAAGCATGTGTATTTAATGTAGTTTGTATTGTTTGTATCTAATTAACCCTGTTTGATTACTAACTAATATATTTGCCGAGTAAAATGTTAGTTTCAGTCTTCTGTACAAGTAACCCCTAACTCTGAACAAGTGGCCAAGCAAGCATAATATATTCCTATTGTAAAATCTTGTTAGCTCCTATTGCATGAAAATATTATGAATGTGAAGGATTTAATATATAAGTGCATTTTCCGAAAGGAATCTTTAGGAATATTGCAAGATTATGTATACTCTATGCCATGCTTTTTAACTTTAGTGGCCGAGACAAGAACAAATCTGAATTCTTTTTGACTACTGTTGTGTGAATACAACTGAAGTCATAGCAGTTATATGTGTGTAATATATATCCTATAGGTACAATCTAGATGGTCTAGAAATGGTGGTGGTGATAATTTAACAGCTAGTGAATTAACCCCTAGTGAAAGTCTTTTAACTTCTGAGGATGAGGTGATTGCATGCTTCTGATATTTCTGAATATTTTCAAATAATTGATGTATTTTGTATGCATGAACTTAAGTGGATGTTTTAACTTTGTTGTATGCGATTTGATCTCCTACAAATTGATTTAAAGGCTATGCTTTTGATCTTTAGATGTAACAGTATTCTTAATTATCATGACCTAGACCTTATAAATCCATATCTAGATCAGTTATTTCTTTTATTTGTGTGTCTTATTTTACTCATATTAGGATTTGAAAATAAAGAGAAGAATATGTTTCATAATGAAAAATTCTAGCAAACTAATGTCAGTTAAAGACACATTCAGGGCCTTTATAAACAATGTGTAATTCTTTACAATTTGAACAATATCTCTCTAATATTTTTAGAGTAAAGAATTTGTAGAGAAGAAAAAGAAGAAACTATTATTAAATCGAGGTGGATCTTTGAAGAACAATCAATATGATTATAGTGAACAAGCTGAGAATACAAGTACTCTCTCTACACCCTCCACTGGTCTAGCGGAATCTCCATTTGCTAATGAGTCATTAGGTGATACTGTTATACATCTTGATAAGGTAAGAATACTAGTAACCATTCTACATCCTCTACTGGTCTAGGTGAATTTCTTTTCGGATAAGATTGGTGAATAGCCATATTGTAAAAGCCAAATCTATCACAGTAACTATATTTTGTTTCTAATGAAAGTTTCGATTCTATTATATTCTATTTGGATTCAAAAAGGCTTATTATTTGATTGGAAGGCATTGACATAACCAGTCCCAATAAACCAGTGGAGAATGACACAAGACAGATAATGTGGTAGGTTTTTGTTTTACCTTGCTATTTGCCTGAGTGTTATCTTATATTGTTAATTATATGTTTAATGTAGGCGTTAGAGAGAATGAGAGAAATGGAGATGAAAGAGATAGAGGAAGGTAGATTAGATGAAGAATCTCTACAAGTTGTATATAACCGTGTACGAGAAGCTAGACAAGCAGCTAGAATATTAGAAGATAATAAATTGGTTCCTGGAAGTGGTACTGATAATGGTAGTCAAGGCTCTATTCCTGATATAATGGTAAGGAATAAATGATCTTGTCTGTTAGTGAAATTTAACATAGAATTTTTGACACTGGTTGATATGTTTAAACAGTTTAATAATATTTATGAAATAGAAAATTAAATTGTTTGTGAAAGATGAGTCATGGAAATATTAAGATAAAGTCTGAAGTTTTACTATTATTTCTACATGTCTATATAATCATGTTTTCAGCACAGTGAAATATTGTTCTTGTGTTATGGGGATATTTTAGTTCAAGTCTGAGTCTATTTTTGTGATTTTCTATACTTTCAGTATTCACGTATTAACAGTAGTCAGTTAGATGATCAAGTTAAAGAGATAATAAGAGAAATTATACCAGTTATTAAAGAACATACTGATGATATCTGTTCACCACAACTATTAGCTTATATTAAACGTCTAGTCTTATCTTTAACTAGACAGAATGACAGTCGACACGAATTTACCTCGTTCTTTCATTCTCAACTAGGATCTATCTTACACGATTCACTGGCTAGATTTGAAGGCAGAAAGTAAGTTGAATACTTTATTTCTTTCCACATGATGGTGTTGTTTATAGTGAGCATTTCTTCAGTAATGAAAGTAGTGGATATAAATGTAGAAATATGTGGCAAGAACATTATTGTTTGGGCCATTTTTATTCTGAACAAACAGCACTTCAGTGAGATTATAGAGTGTCTTGATTAAGGGCAGTTATTCAATACAATGTATGAAGTTTCTCATGGCTCTGAAAGTTTTAAGTATGGGAGCTAAATTTTGATCATGTGAAATATTGTTGCAGGGTTCGTGAATGTGGTGATGATTTACTAGATAGTATGTCAGATGCTTTGTATGATGAGTTAGCTTTCTTCAGAATGATGCAAGATCTTAATAATCCTAATCTAAATAATAAGACAAAATCTAATCAGTCATCAAAGGTTAGTTATCTTGAACTTGATTTGAATAGTAGTTTTAGTAGTCTTTTGACGTTGGGAGCAGTACCATCTCATTGTAAACAATATTATAGTAGGGAAAGTAACATGTATCAAACATTGAGATTGTACTTGAACAAAGTCAATTACATTTCGTCAACTAATTTCAAAAGAGATAAAACATTTGTATTATTAGTGATAGCAACTCATTTAAAAGATATTTGTTAATTTTTAGACATCAAGTCCACAAAAATCCCCTCTCCACACCCGAATTGTCAATAAAGCTGATCTGATATCTGATGATGGTAATGATGTTAGTTCATCAGATAGTGATGTTGATAGCCAGAATAATCTACGAATGTTGGTAGCTGAAGAGGAAAATCTTGGCAAGGTTATTATATTTTTTACTTATCTGTTTTTAAGATAAACTGGTATAAAAAAAATATACTAGGCTATTTCTTTTGCTGATATATTTGACAGCCAGATATTTCAACCCCCATTTAAGAGGTTTATATTTGATCAGAAACTAGTCAAACTTCGAATTAAATATCCTTGCAGCTGGATGTAAAACCAATATAATTTTTTTTAGGAGAGAGATGATGAACTAGCTAATGAGATGCCAATACAAGATGCAGATGAAAAAGATCAACAATCAGAATCTCCTTACAAAACTCAAGGATTAAAGATAGAATTGGCTGTTAGTGAAACGAAACCCTTCACTAGGTAAGTAATAAAAAAATTATGATGCCTTCATTTGTTGAGAATGCAATATATAATTTCAATATCTTCACAGGAAGATGTTTTAGCCTGCAAATTTTTGTAAGAATGTATGTGTTCAAGTAAATTTTGACATATCTAAATATAAATGTATAAGAAGGTGAATATGAACACAACTGTTCTGATTATTTAATTCATCCCTATTTGTTGATGGTATTAGAATTGGTAGTGATGAAGATGATGATAATGATAGTGATGAATCACACAGTGCTGAAGATCCTTCAGAAACAGCTGTATCACGTGATGCTAAACTATCTTCACAACCTGATAGAGCTGTAGAGATTAATGGTAACCTGACATCACCTAGCAGACCAGTTACTAATAATGTAACAAGTCAAGCTAATGGTAATATTAATGGTATACAGAGTGAGGAAGATGGTGATGTAACTGCTGATAAACCTACTGTTGATAACCATACTACTTTGGTAAGTCATGTTTAGCCATGTAAGGCTTCTAATCAACCTTTTCTTACACTGTACAAACACCTGTCAAGTTATGTAAATACCATTGTCATGAAAATAAAAATATCAATGAATATATGAAGTGACCAACACCCAGCTGTTGTGCCACTCTGTGAAACGTGCCATGGAATTGCTTACATGAACACCTCTATGGAGTTTAATAAGGATGTTTTAGTGTCTGATTTTCCTGATTGACTAGGAAGGCTAGAATGTAAGCAGCTTTGCTTCAGTATTATAATATTATTGTGTAATTGTAGATGAATGGAGATGTAGATAATAACAATGAAGTAACAATTGATGATTTACCTACATCATTAAATATAACTGTTTCGGTTAGTATATATTTAGACAATTTGTAATATAAGCAGGTGGAGTTTGAACTTTTCAGACAAAGAAATAAGACACTATTGGGTAGCTCTTATTGAAATAGTTTTTTTTTTTTTATATCATTTGCTTGGTCGGTATTATGCATATTTTCTGTTCATTTTAATAGAAAGAAATAGAGAAGAAAGTAGTTGATGAACAGAATGAATTGACAGGAGAAAATGGTATTTTGTCTACTATGGAACCACAACAGGAACTAGCAGGTGATGGTACAGCTTTAAAAGATCCAGGTTTGTCAATAACTCTCATTTTATAAAACCAAAATACCTTTATTAGCTGGTATAGGGAATTCCATAGCCGCAAGAATGCCTTTGCCTTAAAATTTTTTTTTAATGGAGCTGAAATTTGGAAGTGAAATAACTTAATTTTGAATGAAAATTTGTTACTTTCAGATAGTTTTGGTAATTTAAACTAATACAAAGAACAACACATAATGTACCATTGTGATAATAAGTTGTACTGTAAATTCTCTGTAAAATTTTGCTTTGTCTTGTTATGAATTGTTGATAAATTTTGTTAGTTATTTATTTTACATTTTTATCATTCAATATTAACTTATTATTCTTGCTTCTCACGTCTGTTTGCTGTCTATTTCTGTTAGTTTTCTCTGCTGAAAAATACATACTGTTCAGCTTAGATTTGAAATAAAAGAAAAATTAAATGTTGAGTTCTTGAATCAAATTTAATGTATTTCCTTTCAATCTTAAAAAGTCGATTCCATCCATTAGAAATTTATTTTTCACATACTTTCTTGTTGAAGTTTACATTGTTGATGTTTGCTTGGCAGATATATTCAGTTATTTTGATAAATCACCCCCTTGTCTCTGTATTATCAGTCCTAAATATATTCATCAATTGCCAAAAATTTTGGCAAATTTACTTGTGTATCTTTTTCAAGAGACCTATGGACATATATGAATGCTTTTATCATGCATCTTGCTCTGGTTCACAATATGGAGGTATAGAGGTTATTTATATATTTAAGAGTAAATTAAATTAAATGTATCATTTGCTGTGTGAAGTGCTTTTGTATGAAGTGATTTTTTAAGTATAAAATTTACTAAGTCCTGACATTTTCCCTGCAGTATTTTGAGAAATGGCCAAAAAATTTCAAAATCTTCCACAGTGCATATAAACAACTGAACTTGATCTCGAGAATTGTGAAGCAAAATATTTGTCTGTGTATTTTATAATGAAGGAAAATCTCTTTCTTCATTCCTAATGAAAACAAATTCTGGTGTCTCATATTTCCTATATTCAACTAAAGGTATGGGTTATTCTATTAAAAAGAAAGCTGCATAGGGTTATATTATAATAAAGTATAATATTCAACTATATTTATAATATTGAAGTTGGAGAGTTATATCAAAGTAAAAAATGTATATTTTGTCATATTTTTTGAAATATCACAAATAAAATAATCTGCCAAATGATTTGCTTATTACTTTATATTTGATCTGCTGTGGACAATTACTGATAACAAGACTATTGCTCAACTTTTTCTTGTTAATTCTAGTTTTGAGATAAAAAAAAAAAAACATTTCAAAAGAGGAACGTTCTACAATACCAAACTATATTGAAAAACAACGTATTTCTTTATTTACAATCCCGATCAAAATTTCTTTTTTTCTGACATATAAATTAAAAGAATACAGTTTTGATTTTAGAGTGAAAAAAAGGGAACAAAAATGAATTAAATGCATACATAATTTTTAAAAGCTATTTGTGCATCTGAATCTAGCAGACATTGCAAAATAATCATTATGAAAAAATCTAAAACAAATTATGAGGACATTAGCAGACTAATGTAATCAAAACTTTTCAGAAAAGAAAAAAAGAGCACTCTCAATTCAACCAATGATAATAAAAGAATAAATTAGCACTTTAAATAAATAAGACTAGTACAGCACTTACAAATAACGTAACATATCAGATATTATTGCACAAACATTCATACACAGTTTGACTGAAATATAACATTCACATTGAAGATGCCGAAAGTACTTTCCTGAAAAGGTCCAAAATTCAAACTCAGAATTTATCGTAGACATCCTCAAATTTCAAATGAATTATGAACTGTTCAAGTATCAGAAATAAATTTGCTTCAATAACATAAGCATGCCTGTTCCAAGTAAAGTATGCCTCTGACTTTACATACCTACTAAACTATAAACAGGTGCCTGATTGTAGGTGCCTACGATATCCAGATAAAGACTCATGCATGTTTGGATATACCTACTCATAAGTAGAAATATATTCTTGTTTGGATATGCCTATTGATAAGTAGAAACCGGTGTCTTTAACAGCAAAATATGAAAACAAAAAAACAAAAACTTTGCAATAATCATGGAAAACTAATGGAGAAAATTACTTTGGCATGGGCTTAATAAGTACAGCCATTGTTTTAGCCTCTTCAGCTTTAGGTACATTAATAGTCATAGAAAGATTATTATTCCGACTACAAATCTGAGTAGGGGCAGCATCCACCTGGATCACATGATCATATTCATTATAAATAACAACACTTGATTGGATTTCAGCTTCACCATTAATCATTGCAGATTCATGTCCGTAAATCTGTAGAGTCCATGAATCTTGATTTTTACGATATGTTATCTTCCATTCTCCTTCTTTATTTTCTGATGGTACAGGACCAACATAGGTTCTGACATCAACTTGAATACCAAATCTAAGAGTATTCTGCATCCGTACATTATCCACTGTTAAAGACATGTAATTCCTTGGTAAATAAAATGGCTGATTGAAGCTAACTTCTAATTCTGCTTGTGAAGGACATAGTGATCTAAAACGATATGCTTTACTTATCAACTCCAACAATAGCTCTCGAAATGTGGCATAATTTTCATCCTCTTTAGCAAGTTTTTCGATTTCATACAACTGTGAAACCTGCATCTGTGGGTATCTAATCAAGGGAAGCAACTGTTTAGAATGATCCTCCATATTTGTTTTATGTTGATCGCAAAACAACCAACTCGTCAAAGCTAGAAAAAGACAATTTTCTTCTTGCACTACTAGTTGAGAATTTGACAGTAAGTCTTTCAGAAAGTCGAAATCCATATCCAACCATTCAGGCATTTTGAGAATTAGATCTGTATTCCAGGCTATTGTCTTAGAACATTGATCAATCAAGTCTCCTAGATTTAATGCTTTAGCCCATGAATACCAATTTAATGCATTTTTGACTTTAGGTGATCTGGTATTCTTCACCATGTATTTAGTACATAAAAGTTTTAATGAAGTTACATTATATTTGTCTGCTAGACACAAAATACCTACAGCAGAGTCCACATTGATGTTAATCTCTGCAGTGTACAGAAACTTCAAAAATCTGTCGAAATACTGTTGGCATTCAATACTTTCATTGAGTTCAATTTCTGGGGAGCTGGCTTGAGTATATCTCTGATCATATAACATGGTACGGAACACTTCACTCGACTTCGCTAACACAAATTTATGTGCAAAGTAAGTATTGTCTGCTATTTTTAACAAAATATCACTCAGAGCCTCCTGGTTAAAAAACTGGGAAACGTTCAGTATGAAATTGTCTTCATCACGTAAAATATTGTCACCATCAATTTCTGGCTGCGGGGGTGGGGCTTGATCAGCTTCTGCTTCATCCATTGTCTGAAATGACACATAATAAGGAACAATTTATAGGTTGTAGGTTTTAATTTTTTTAAATTTTTCGAAAAAGTTCGGAGAAAGATAGATCTAGAAAACATCACACAATAGGTGACATTTATGTAATTTCTTTGTATCTATCATAAAACACAGAGATTCATTTTAAGAGTATAAGCACTTATCAAAAGGTTTTCCATAAGAGTACGGTACATACTTTCTGTGACAGTGAATGGATATAATTAGATTCAAATTGAGAATATCTTCTCCACTGATACATAATACCATACAATACTAGTCACACAATGTGAATAAAACTGGATTTATTGAGATAAAAGCAATACGATAAGTTTTTATCAGATGTTGCCTTCTTCAACCTGTATCTTTTACAGTCAAAGTTCAAAAGTTGACTAATATACTTTCTTTGTATGATCAACTAAATTAAAACTTGTGCAAAAAGTTAACACCATGAAATCATTCAATAACCTTATACTGGAAAACCAAGAAAAGTCAACTTGATGCAACAGACATAAATTAGCAAATATACAAAGTTTCATGTGAAGACACCCATGGATCAACTGTAAATTTGTAAAAAAAACACATCTTAATAATTCTAATGCAGTCATTACTTCAATATTTCTAATGCCCTGAAAATTATGAGAATCATTTATTAAGTTGATTCTTTCGTAAAGTCTCAGATTATTTTTTTTACCTTTTTAAAGCGAGTGACAACATGTTTAAATTTCCTCTCATGTATATACTGTCTTGGTCTAATGACATGAGATGTCCTGTCTCTTAAAGCCATATTATATTTGTTCTGTCAACTTTTATTTTTTCAACAAGCTCAATATTTATAAAACATGACTCATCCATTCATTTAGTTCAATAAAATAATTTTTTGTGAAAGGGTGTCGTATATAAGACATTTAAATGGTAAATTTTAAAGATAGGCGTTTCCAAAAAAAAAAACCCAGCTGATATCATGATAACATGATAATAGCTATTCTTAGATACATGTATTTTATTCAAAAACAATAACATCAAGAGGTCATGGTTGACTTTACATTGGATAAGGAAATAAACCCCACACTAGAAAGATCTGTCAAGGAGATCAGAAAAATATGTGTAGACAGTCATATTATGTCCAAAATGGAACAAATTATAAGTCATGGGGGGGGGGGGGGGGTCACATTTTGAATCTTTTGAATTTTTTCTTCCCATTAAGTAATATTGCCATACTCCCCCTTGACATGTCTACCTATATGTAATGTAAAAATATATGTTGAAAACTCACATGTATTCCAAGAATAAAGGTCACAATAATGGGCAATAAACTAATCAAATATTGCCTTTCCTATAACTTAATATATGAACAAACAAGTAAGAATATGTAAATATTTCCATCAAACAGGCCAAGAGGTTGACCAACACAATCTTTATACTAACCAACCAATTAACTTATATAATCATTTAGAATCATTAGACCTTAACACATAATCACATAAATCATAATAGTCAAATTGGAACTCCTAGGATCGATTTGGGTTTTGGGTGTGGCTTCTCACCCCTTTTGTCACCTGTAAATATGATATTTTTTTGTGTAAGAATGAAGGGTTGTGCCTTAAAATAATATGACATCCTGTTTACCATTTCCACAACAACTTTCAGACTACCACATTTATCTTGGTTTGTAAAAAGTTATATGACCTTTCTTTATTCTAAAAGCTATGCCAAATTTGGCTTTTATCACAATGAATATGCTCAACAACTCAGATAAAAAGTAACATTTTATGTCTGGCCCAAATGAGCCGATACCCCCCCAAGTCCATGAAATGGGTCGGCCAGATATTTCGGGCTAGAACAAAAGTTACATAAGAAATATCTATTTTCATTATAGTTTGCACATAAGTAAAATTCCCCCCTTCCTTCCTCATATTGTTCAGGTAATGTAAACATATCAATTTTAATTTAACTAAAAGAATTAAAATATAATTTTATGTTAACTAGAGCAAAACATAATTGGATAGAAATAAATAGGTAACCTATTAAAATACTATTTCTATATAAACTTATAAATCAAATATAGTTTTGTTTATTACGACTTGAATAAACTACGTTTTGACCTTTATAACTGAAAAATTATCCAAGGTAATTACTCTGATAGTTGACAATAAGTTGAAGATGACTATATAAATTTCCAAGATCTTGATTTACTCCTGATTTATCAGTAGTAAGAAATATTGGACTCTCTTTTACTAAATTTATTTAAATATAAAAAATAGCTTCTCTCAGTAGAATATCTGCCCTGACTAGTGTTCAATTAACACTCAATTAGTCATTTTCGAAAAATTTCCATAAACTACAGTAGTTTTTATTACGATGTTTTCCTTTACTTTTTTTTATTCAAAATGCAAGTAATAGGTCTCTATAACTAATTTTGGCATAGATGCAAAAGCAAATAAAATGGTGGTTTGTATGACAGAGAAGCATTTTCAGCATCCAGATGTTTCAAATTTCAGTGAAATGTCTTAGAAAACAAAAGTCAGTCAGTTCTGTTTTATTCAATATGTTCCTCCTATGATAAAGAATATTTTGAATATCTGAATTGCTGTGATAGATATTTCAATTCATACTGAATGTTAATATTCAACCCTATCCTACTATCACCATCAAACTGTCTTATGTGACGGATGTGTCATTTTTGTTAAAAGTTAAAAATACTGCTTGCTAACTGCATGCTCAGTTTAAAAATAGAATGTTTGCAAAAATCAAACACGTCAAAAGATGTGAGGTAATCTAAATTTAAATTAAATGATGATATCACACCACATGACTTATTGTTTATCTTTTTTCTAAGCTAACTATCGGTTTTCCCAAGTTTCAAGTTTAACAGGTAAGGTACAAGGTAAAAAATTAGCATATAAAGTACATCTACTAAATTTACCTCTTTAATTATAACCATAAATCATTGGTGAATTAAAAATCAAGACTTAAAAGTTTTTACTCAATTTACATAATTACTCCACTTAATGAACTTAATTTAATTGGCGAATCAAACCAAATTAAAAGTATGTAAGGTAACTAAGAACACTTGAAATAACAAAGTAGGGACAAAGAAAAATTCAGACAGATATTGATCCTTAAATACAAAATTGTCACTGAATACCCATTAACTTTTGTGGTTTGTGTGGTAGCAAAGTGGTAGTCTAGCTTAGGCTAAATGCTATTCTAGGGTATATTTGGTAATATTTATATCCTAATCTGATAGAAGGCTTAGGAAAACCTTATGTCAAAAAACAGTGATTTGCTATTCAATTTTCAGTCCAATTACACTGTTTCAACACTTTTTCTAACCTAATTTAGAAACAAAGAATGTACTGACATATAAATCCTTCTTCTACCACTTAAAGTAACATAGTTTCTACATCATGTTTTTTGACAACCAAAACATGACCTAGTACAAAGGACAAAATAGTCATTACATTTAATCCCTGCTGTTTTTATGCCCCAATAACCTACTAACAACTTGTTGAATTTCTCACCAAAACTAAGTTAATGAAAGTCAACTGTCTAATTAACAGTTTGATGTCTTTAATATAATGATAAGCATAAATAATTTACATAGCAGATAACTTGAATATAAAGCTCAATCAAAATACATTATATTATATCATATACTAGATGATTATGTGCCTCGGGTTTGAACCTTCTTCTAGGTAATAAAAAGTCTGATACCACAGCCAGTGATTCTGAAAATCTGCAGCCGAGTGTCAGCTTTCACTCATTAATACCTAATATCTTCCATCTATCAGAGTAATGTCTTTCATTTTCTTATATTCTAGTCACGTCATTTTCCAATTGAACCTTACCTTATTCCAAAGTTACAAAACTATCAAACCTAAATTTTTAACCAACCATAGATTAATAATCAATATTTATTGTACAATCACGCTAACTGTTTTCAATTTAGTTATATCATAACTTGATCAAACAAAAGCTTGGACACATTAATATTTCCTCATTTTCAACTCATGTTTTGAATTTTTTACACCAAGCAATAATCAATATATCTTTCTATTAAAACAGCTGCTGTATGTTATCATTAATATGCACATAATCAACAAAATACAGATGTTGCATAATAATTGGTGACCTTATGCAATCATAAACTAAGAATCTTTAACAGCAGTTTCAATATCGTGTTTTAAAGAACAAAGTAGAAAAAACTGAAAAAATTCAATCCATTTAAATATCAAATATGCAACAAATGTGGGCCACATGTGATCTTTCATGCAACATTTGGAAGTCCTGTAGATTTGTCTTCATCAAACAGAATTATGTGATGTATGACAGAATAATGACAAAATATTTGTAAAAAAAATGTTACATGTTTAAGATTATTCTAAATAAATTTTGATAGTCATAGTCGTTTTGATATTAGTTACAAGATAACAATAGAAACTGGGACCTGGAATATGCAATATCTAGATCTAGGTAGAAATTAATGCGTACATACCTGATAAAGAAATCTGTTACTACGCTGGTGGTAACTATATGGTCTGTATGAGTTGTGACTTATATAATACATACTGAAACAACATAAGAATAATAATAATATTAATCTGATGTGTTATAAAACCAAACATGTTTACTGTGTAGCCAAGTACAACTTCCAGAAAATAATAATTTTAGTAGTAAGATCTGTTTCCTACCCAGGGGGCTAAACTAAACTGTGAGTGCATGGAAAAAAAACTAAAAAACTAAAAAATATATGTAAAACTAAACCATTATCAAATTGAACATAATTAAAACAATAGAAATTTTAAGGGTTTTACACCTCTTAACAGCTTAACAGATATACAGCAATAACAATTTCACTTCTATGACTTAATAATTTGTCACCATATATAATGTGAGGTGTAGTGTTAAGGGTATGATTATTAACAATCAACAATTAGCACCCTATCTTAGCCAAAAGATTACTTGTCAGTTTGTGTATGCCTATCTAAACAAAACTGTACTTAATCAATCTTTAATAATATATCAATGATAGCAAGAATGCAGATTCTGCCGTTTCTTCCAGCTTTTTAATTTTGATCAATAATTTTGGTAATAATTTAATATAGTAACAACTGAAAGTAGGCTTATTTTAATATTGACTTTTAAAAATTAAAATTATACAGGATGCGAATTAGGAATGCATACATTTATGTCAATTATTCCAATTTAGTATATGTAAATGATGACATGGCATGGCATATTTCCAGGATTTTGCTTTGACTTTAATAATAAAATCATAATTGATAATTAGGCCTTAGCAACTAATACTTACTTTTCAGCCTATTCCACTTTTCATTTTTAAAGTTTTTGATTGAAGAAGATGTCACAGTGGCATACACATAATTACATGAAATTTACATTATGCAGAAAAATAAGTTAAAACATAAACAATATTTTCTTAATACATTTTGACAATCAAAACAAATCAAAAGTAGAGTTAACAGACAAATAATGACATTTAATTACAAAATGTAAAAATCAAAGTTCCTCTTACTTACATGGCCAATAACAAGAATTTGAGTCTTTAGTAACTGACTTTCATCCCAAAGGATGTGGCACGACCGAATCCTTTGTATAAAGTTGCGCATTTTGGCTCTTTGTTTCCTTTTAAACCGTCATTTGATAAATTTCACATGTGCCCTTAGTAAGACCACGTGACATCTTTATTTACATCTCGTAAAATATCGATCATGTGACAAGTTCAGCTGTTGTTATCCAGTCTTTTCCCAAAATAGAATGCTCCTCGGTTAGCCTTCGACAGAAAAAGACATGATAATGAAAAAAACAAAGATGTCCGCTTCCATTCAGAAGAAAGGTTTTACAAACGTTTCTTGAATTTTTTTCAAATGAAGTAAATTATTCTTAAAATGGCTGATTCATATTCATTGGTTAAAGGTGGCAAATTAAAACTTAAAGGTCATAAGGAAAAGAAGTAAGTGTACTTGTTATTTTCTAAGGAACTCTAGATTCTTACTCTACTGCCATTGCAACCTGTACAGTGGTGTAACCTATTTTCGTGGATATAAGGATTCAACACCAAATTTCGTCAAATTTAATAAAACGAAAAAAGAAATTTATGTCTTAGATGTTTCCTCTGATATTCTACAAAATAATTAAAATTGGTTTATTTCGATTTTCTTTATGAATCCTTCATTTTGACCCATATTTCATGAGCAACCAACTCGGCAACGGCGGCAGAATGCGTCACCTATTTTCGTGTATAATGTTTGATCTATAAATAAGTCTAGAAAAACACGTTGTATGGATACCGGGTTGTATAATTAACTTCTCTTAGTATTTATCTTTAATATCAATTCATTATAACTAGTGACAATTCCTTCAAAGAACCGTGATTTATAAAAAAAATAGTGACTGACAAAATAAGATACGTAGCAAGATTTATTGCTAAAAGTCACTGAAACAACATAAGAATTTGGCCCACTTTGTGTTCCATAGAAATTTTCTGCTGACACGGAATCTGCTAGTTGATCACGCGACCTCATTCGTTGGACTACATTCTAGCAGACGACACTTGGAATTCCGATTACAGCTTGGGATTATAAGGAAATTCGGCTGATAAAAACTTGTGACGTTTGGTAATAACTGAAATCCGCCATTTTGTATTTGTCAAAGTATACATTAATACATTTTACCTTGCTTGAAAATACTGGATTCATTATACTACCGTAGCTGATATTGTACAAAAAACCCATGTTTATCAAAACAAGCAAATGCCGAGGTCACGCAATGTCGCACATGTAAATTATTAATCCTTTCTGGAAATGCACGAAAAATAGGTTAGCACAAAATTAGGTTACTTGACTGTATAATAAGCCCACTATCGGCACTGTTGCTGTTTCGCCCCCTCCCCTTCCCGTAGTAGAGCTATCGATTTGAAACTTGGCAGAGAGGTACTTAGCTATGATGGGTCTGCCCTTACCAATATGACCTTAGGCAGGGCCAATGTCAAAGAATGCAAGTGGGTGTAGCGCCAGGCAGGTCAAGCTTACTCTTCTAGAGACATTTTGATTATACCACTTATTTTAAATTCCACCTCTAATTAGATATTTACCACTTAAGTTTCACCCAATGTATTATGAAAGCATAGTGAATGTATTATAGCCAATACTTTCCCACATCAGAACCTGAGACAATCTTCTGTTGAGTTCTCTAGCCCATTAAAATTTGGAATCAGTTTTACTACACTAGACAACAAATACATGTAACTTAATAATTATTTTGTATTAAGGCACAAGAAACATAAGAAAAGAAAACGTGATGATGATGATGGTCCAGGGGGAAGTAACTCTGACAATAATGATGATACTCATGTTCATGGTAAATGTTTCAGTTTTTGTGCCAGACATAGAGCTTCTTGCAACAAATATTGGACTACTTCGCTCTAAGACCATGTGGAAATTAAAAGACACGTCTTTTTATGTTGCTTGCATTGCCTTTTTTATGGGCCAAGTATGGGACTGATGGGCCCAAAGACCATTGAATATTCAAAATTGAATTTTGAGTGCTATAATTTACTTAATTTATATTGGCTGCATGGACTTATTTATAACCTGTTTGCTAACCTGCCCAAACTTCTTTGTAATGACTTTCCTGAATTATCTGTTGTACAATTTATAGTTCATTTAAATCCTAACTGTAAATCCTTGTTGTACAATGAATTATAATTGTCCTTACTGGGATAATAAAGATTTATTATTATTAACTCTATTTGTAGGTGGGTGGTGGGAAGTAAAAGAATTTGAAAGTATAGTTGGAAATGTGGCTATAGAAATGAGTGATATGAGATATGTAAGTGCTATGGATAATGGTGGATTTACATTGGGTGATAAGATATCTAAAGGTAACTAATATTTCAATGTTTTCTGCACAGCATCTTTGAGCATTTTCACTCATGTACAAAATGGCAGACTGTCAATCTTGATTGGAGAACCCTTGATGAAATATGTAATAATTTTTGGCCCACCCCTATATTGGCAACCCTTTCTTACGGTTGCATTTTACAAGCAAATATACTCTACATTAGCCTACATATTCTTTGAAAATTTGTATGTTGACACAGGTGTTAATATTTTACATGATATCTTTTAAAGGTGAAGGTCCAGATCCAGTTGAAATATTAACGGCTATAAAAATAAACGATACCAAGATAGCCTTAAAATCCGGTTATGGTAAATATCTTGGTGTAGACACAGATGGGAAACTTATTGGTAAAGCTGAAGCTGTTGGAAGTCGAGAACAATTTGAACCAGTCTTTCAGGATGTAGGTGTATTTTTCTCTTCAAGGGATTGTTTTTTGCAGGTTAATAAGTAGGAATGAAAGTGATGCCAATGGATAGCGATGCACATAGATATATAACCTTGAACTATCTGTATGTGCCATGGAGAATATTATAAGTTGATCTCTGATGTTTCAGGGTAAAATGGCAATAAATGGATGTAATGGAAGATTTGTATCTGTGACTAAAGATGGTGATATTATTTGTAGTTCTAAAACAGCAGGAGATACAGAAATGATCAAGGTAGGACTTGAAGAACATGAAATTTTCCTATATTGTTTGCAAATATTTTCGCTGATATTTTAGCATGTTGGAATGAGATGTATTTCTGAAGTTTTTACGCTTGAAATTTCTGGACTGTCATCCATCAAGAATACAATTCTCATATGGAAGCTTTTGTAGAGCACACTATGAAAAATACAAAATGAAAAAAAAGTTACTACCGGTACGTCATTTTACCCTTCTCCAGCGCTGTGTTCACCACACCACTAGAGATTTATTCTCACAGGTCTGCTATTTCTTTAGATTAGGTCTAGTATAAGTCTTGAACGTGATCCACTGGAAGATATACCTAAAGAAGAAAGGGGAACTTTAAAAGAATCAGAAATCAAATATGTGTAAGTTTTATAGATAAATATTTACAATAAACACTCCATCATCCAAAAGCCATATCTGGTTCATTGATGTCATGGAATTTTGTTAATAGTCAAGTTTCACACAACACTTATCCTAAAATAAAGGTACATGAAATTTGATGTGGAAAGTTGTTCCGTACCTAAAGCTTAAAAAAAAACTAGCCATTTAAGGTTTTGAATGGAATAGATGTGTCTTGAATACAATTTACTCAATTCTTATCATAGGGGCTATTATTTCATATTTCCAGGAAAAAGTTTCAGAGTTATAAGAACAACAAGTTAAGAATCAATGAGAATTCAGTAGGTGAATTGATTAAAGCAAGACAAACGGGAAAACTTCATGAATCTCTGTTAGACAGGTAATACATATATATGTCAAATCAAGTTGTTAACAAGAAGGCTTTTAAGAGTTTGTTCTTTTTAACATTCTTACATGATTGAAGTTGCCCACAGATAATAAACAAAACAATAATTTGAGTTGAAATGAAATAATTCAATGCTTTTATGCAAAAATAGAGACACTAAACTTTTAATTTATTTTGAAAAGATTTCTTCCAAGATAATCTTATTTCTTTTCCAGTGCTATATGTTTAGTAATTTCCTTAACAAGGGCTGTTCGTCAGCATATTTAAAATTTTGTGTATCTTTATCTTGCAGGAGGGAGAAGATGAAGGCAGATAGATATTGTAAATAATGACTGTATCAAAATATTTCTTTTATTACAAAATCCTACAGTTTATATCAAATACCGTAGTGCTTTAAACTGTGTGTGTTGGCCTATTTATAGGTTATGTTTTAAAATGTTTATATCATATTCTGAAAAAACAGTTAATATAAATAAAGCTGATGGTGAACAAATTTGGAAGAAGGATTGTTTTTGTCGAAGTTAAAAGCAAAAATATTATTCCAGTTATTGATATAAATGAAAAAAACTTTCCACAGTGTCATAAAAATTTTACAGATTTGTGATCAATGAGAGAAGATCATCTTATAGCTCTTGGATTTTGATAGGCTGATATCTCTGTATGTAGAGGTGATGTCGTGTCAGCACCCATGTCCGTCTGTTAATGAATAACATTTATGTCAGTCATTCCATCATATTTTCTGAAAATGCATGAGAATCTAGTTTTCATCGTATTTGGATGAACGAATTTCTTAAAACTTTGAATAAATGCACAAATTTCTCTTGACCTGTAATATTGAAAATCTGTATGATTTTAAATAAACTTGGTATGTATGCATATATTTTTATCCAAAAATAAAGTGCATGTCAAAATTGTGTGCTTTTGCAAAATTTGATGACTGGAGAAAGGTTTTTGCTTTATGTATTTGCTTTCATATTTTCCCCCCCAAAAAAGGTATTCCTCCATACTGTAAAATTTTTGAAAAAATTTACATTTCCAAAAAAAATTTTATTGTGAACATTTTGAAATATATTTCATTTATACTTTCTTTATTATCTTTGTAAACCATTGCTGGTGCTTACACAATTTGTATTTTTATTCTTCCATACAGCTCCATGAAAGGATGTTTTACTCTGACTGTTCTGTATATTGATATTACAGCCCTTTCTCATTATACATCTTACAATGTCTATATTTCTCTTCCAAACAGCTTAATGTAAGGATGTTTTGCTGTGACTGTTCTGTATATTGATATTACAGCCCTTTCTCATTATACATCTTACAATGTCTATATTTCTCTTCCAAACAGCTTAATGTAAGGATGTTTTGCTGTGACTGTTCTGTATATTGATATTACAGCCCTTTCTCATTATAAATCTTACTATGTCTATATTACTCTTCCATACAGCTTAATGTAATCCTCTGTATTGGGAGATGTCACAGTCTGTTGTCACCTTGTCCAATGTCCTACTTAAAAAAATAGTTATGTATATTGACATTACAGTTACCCTCCTCAATGAAACATCCTACAATATCTATATTACTCTTCAATATAGCTTAATGTAAGGATGTTTTACTGCCACTGTTCTGTATATTGACATTGACCTTCCTCAATTAAACATCTTACAATGTCTATATTACTCTTCAATACTGCTTAATGTAAGGATGTTTTACTCTGACTGTTCTGAATATTGACATTACAGTTACCTTCCTCAATTAAACATCTTACAATGTCTATATTACTCTTCAATACTGCTTAATGTAAGGATGTTTTACTGCCACTGTTCTGTATATTGACATTGACCTTCCTCAATTGAAAATCTGACAATATCCAAAAAAAAAAAAAAGGCATTGTAATGCATCTCTGTGTATGACATCACAATTATTCCTCTTCATAAAAAATAGTATTTTTTAATGCTTCTTCTTTTACTGTATACATAGATGCCACAGTTAATTATAAATTAAGTATTCCTCTTGTAACTGTCTCTGCTCTTTATCTTGACATCAAAGTGACCTTCCGCAATTAAACATCTTACGATGTCTATATTCCTCTTCAATACAGCTTAATGTAAGGATGTTTTGCTGTGACTGTTCTGTACATTGACATTACAGTTACCTTCCTCAATTAAACATCTTACAATGTCTATATTACTCTTCCATACAGCTTAATTTAAGGATTTTTTACTCTGACTGTTCTGAATATTGACATTACAGCCCTTTCTCATTATACATCTTACTATGTCTATATTACTCTTCCATACAGCATAATGTAAGGATATTTGACTGTGACTGTTCTGTATATTGACATTACAACCCTTTCTCATTATACATCTTACTATGTCTATATTACTCTTCCATACAGCATAATTTAAGGATATTTGACTGTAACTGTTCTGAATATTGACATTACAGCCCTTTCTCATTATACATCTTACTATGTCTATATTACTCTTCCATACAGCTTAATGTAAGGATGTTTTACTGCCACTGTTCTGTATATTGACATTGACCTTCCTCAATTAAACATCTTACAATGTCTATATTCCTCTTCAATACAGCTTAAGGTAAGAATATTTTACTGTCACTGTTCTGTATATTGACATTGACCATCCTCAATGAAACATCTTACAATTTCTGTATTACTCTTCTATAATACAGCTTACTGTAAGAATGTTTTTACTTTCCTCTGTTAAAAATCTTACAATTTTCAAAATTTATATATTTATATATCTGTACATGATATCGCAGTCATTCCTCAACATAAAAAGTTTTTGGTTTTTTAAATATGTCTTGTTTTTCTGTAGATATATTTTGACAGTCTTCTGACACATTTCCTTTTTTTTTTAAATTCTTAATCTATTTGAAATATATTGGAATAATTTTTTAAAATTTATATGCCCTAATTTTTGTACTTCTTATTTAATAATTAATATTGGTCTAAGTGAACTCGGAATGCCTGTGTAACTAATGCAGAGCTGTATATTAACCCTTTCGCATTGCACAAATATTGAATTCAGTTATGACCAAAAAAAAAAATTTGATTCAGCTCAATTCGATTTAGTTTGGTTTGCTTTCGCACTGCAATCCTACCTGAATAGCCTATTTCACACTGCCAAGAACATAATGGCAATATAATTTTCCTTTTCCTCCTCTTTGTTTATCTCTTTCTTGTGATTTTCAAGTACATGTATTTCCATTTATCATAACGTCCCTGACAACAGGAGACGACATTTAAATTGTTCATTTAGTGATACCTCGCATGGTATATATACTTATCCAGTTATTAACTTCTTGTTTGGTTTTGCACTGCCACTTGTCTGGATCTTATCTTTCTATCTGGATAGAACAAAATTAATTTTGCAGTGCCAAAGGGATATTAGTGCCCTAAAAATCTTACGATCAATCTTAGGTCATTAGTGCTAATTTTATTGTTAATGGTGTTTCTCTAAAAATCGTAAGATTAAATTTATCGAATGTTTTTGACTAAATCTAGTGTAAGACAACAGTTTTCATCTGATTTTAATGAAATTTGGTGTGATCATTTATAATGATGAGATCTTAATCAAGATTTAGTTTGATGATTTTTCGATCAAAGAAATTTGAGTTATTGCCCTTGAAAAACGCGTCAAAATTTGTTTGTGAACACAATAGAGACTACTACAGTTTTCATTCGATTTGATAATGAATGATAATTTATAGTGATGACATCTTGGACAAGTTCGAAGTTGGCTATCTATCGATGAACCTTTTTCAGTTATTGCCCTTGACTTAGGGAAAGATAGCTTGCCAGGCAAGGTAACATACGCCCACTACCAGCTGTCAGTAATGATAACAAAATCTTTAGTGGCTTAATAATGAATTTTCAAATCTTAAAGTCATCTATAATTCAGGGCAAAAACCTGAAACAGTTCATCAAGTTATCAGCAAATTCAAACATGAACAATGTCTCATCGCTGTACACACAAGGGCAATAACTCTGAAACTGTTCATCCGATTATTACCAATTTCTAACTTGACTGAGATTTCATTAATATATACATGCAAATCCAGTTTTATCAAGATGGGATAAAATCTGTAGTTTCTATTGTGCCTGCGAGCTGAATTTGACAAATTTTTACTAAATCAAGGGCAAGGACTCTGAAACTGTTCACCCGATTATTACTAATTTCGAACTTGACCGAGATCTCATCAATACATACATGCATACCAAGTTTCATGAAGATCGGATAAAAACTGTAGCTTCTATCGCGCCTACAAGCCAAATTTGAGGCGTTTTTCTAAGTCAAGGGCAATAACTGAGAAACCACTCATCCGATTATTACGAATTTCGAACTTGACAGAGATCTCATCAATATATACATACATACCAAGTTTCATCAAGATCAGATAAAAACTGTCTCTAGTGTGCCTACAAGCAAAATTTTTACGTGTATTTACTAAGTCAAGGGCAATAACTCTGAAACTGGTCATCCAATTAATATCAATTTCGAACTTGACCGAGATTTCATAAATATATACATGCATACCAAGTTTAATCAAGATCGGATAAAAAAGAAATGTGAATGGATGGATGGCAGGGCCAAAGGCAATATACGTCCACATTTCCATGTTGGCATATAAAAACGTGTTAAAATCTGTTTGTGAACACAATAGAGACTGTAATTTTGAGTTTGACGATTTTTCGATTAAAGAAATTTGAGTTATTGCCCTTGACGTATCAAAATTTGTTGGCGTATTAATGCAATAGAGGCAACAGTTTATGTCAGAATTTTATTAAATTTTGTAAGTTTGATTAAATCAACTATATCTTACACGATTTAGATTTTTGGTTTGATTTGACACAGATTTGTGACTGCCCGTGATGTACTGAAAATTTATCAGGAAAGTGGGCGTATCTTGTTAGGCAACCACTTGTATAACAAGGCCAGGTTGCCAAAAAAGGCTTACAGACGATTCACTTTTTCCATAAATGAACATAATATTTAGTTCAAGTAACTAAAATTTCTATAGCATTAGACTATTTAAGCCGTAAAGTAACTGTTGTCTGAATATTATTATTAATGATTCATTGGAGTTGTTTCCCTTAATTACTCTCTTTCAAGAACATTTATTGTGTTTTTATAACGATGAACGTACATTGATTGATTCTGTAAAATGAATTAATTTCTTGGATTCTTCAGATTAAAGATTTCAAAATGAATGACTTTAATTTCGCCTGGAAAAACAACCACTATTAAATATTTATAACTCTATGCCTGCAAATGACTTCTACATTGCGATGTCAGTGCGCATGGCAATAATTAACCGGAAGTAAACAAATCCAACGTAAACAAAACAACCTCGTGTGATAACTTGTCTCCCCATCAAAAACTTCTACGAAAAATCAGAACAAGAATTTTCATTTTTGTGTTGGTTTGGATCTTTTTGATTGTTTTCCATTCATTTGTTAGGATTTCAACGTTACTTATACATCATGGATTTAAGTTCAGCTTCATCATTAAATGCTCTATGTAATTTATTAAAACCAGAAAATGAAGATTCAGACAGCGATGAAGATCAGGTAAGTTTGATTGAGGAGATTGTTATTCATTAACATGCTTTTATATGTACAGTGGGACAGGTTTGCCACCTGTTTGACCGATCATACCTTAGGCCAAACAAATGGAAATGTGGACATATTGCCGTCGCCCCATCCGGCCATCCATATTTGTTGTATGCGGATAGAGGCTACAGTTTTTATCTGATTTTGATGAAACTTAGTATGCATGTATATATTGATGAGATCTCGATCAAATTAGAAATTGGTAATAGAACAGTTTCAGAGTTATTGCCCTTGACTTAGTAAACATGCGTTGAATTTGGCTTGTATGCACAATAAAGGCTGCAATTTTTATCCTATCTTGATGAAACTTATTATGCATATATATTGATGAAATCTCGGTCAAGTTCGAAAATGATAGTAATCGGACTAATGGTTTCAGAGTTATTGCCCTTGTTTTACTAAAAATGTGTAAGAGTTGGTGTTTGTGCACGATAAAGGCTGCAATTTTTATCCGATCTAGATGAAACCTAGGAATCTGTATATATTGATGAGATTTTGGTCATGTTTGAAATTGGTAGTTTCGGATGAAAGGTTGCATAGTTATTATAACAAACTAGTTATAGTTATTGCCCTTGACTTAGTAAAGACGTGTTAAATTTTGCTAGTATGCACGATAAAGGCTGCAATTTTTATCCCATCTTGACCTTGACTTAGTAAAAACACGTCAAATTTGGCTTGTAGGCATGCTTTAGACTACAGTTTTTATCCGATATTGATGAAACTTGGTATGCATGTATATATGGACAAGATCTCAGTCAAGTTGAAATTGGTAACAATCAGGTGAAAGGTTTTGGAGTTATTGCCCTTGAATTAATTCAATGCATCTAATTTGGCTTGTAGGCCTGATAGAGACTACATTTTTTTACGATTTGGATGAGATCTCAGTAAAGCTTGAAATTAGTTAAAATTGGATGACAGGTTTCACATATTAAAGCACTACAGACTTTGTTATCATTTCTGACATCTGGTAGTGTGTGTATGTTACCTTGCCTGGCAAGCTATCTTTTTTATGTGGCCTTAGTCTCAGAAAAGGGAATTGTTCAGCTAAGCCTTATCAGCTAAACTTGAACCTCAATTGCAAGTGTGTATAGAATTATCCTCGTATAATCTTTCTTGTTTGAAGTATAAGCTTATTTTAAAGGATTATGTAATTTTTGTGCAGTTCTAGAAATCTGAAGACTATTAACATATATATTCAAGACCCAAATCAACCCCGCAAAATGCAACAATGGCCTTTAAGTTTTAGTCTTAGATTAGAAAAATACATATTTATAAATTTGTAGTGTTTGAAATTGGTTGAAGATTGACCACAAAATAATTACTGATCTATTCTTTTTCAAGCCATCAACAACTTTAGGAAAATTAGGACCAGGTCACATTGGTGAATTAACAAAACCACCTTCAACTACAGACAAAAAAAAAGGTATTTTTGTATTAATATTTAGGCCATGGCTATTCACACTGTAATGGGACATCATATGACCATCCCTAACTAAACCTTAAAATTCACTTAAGACAATTGAAATGGCTTCACTCTCTAGAAAATAACCAGTGCAGACACAGAGAAACAATCCATTGCCCATGTTCAACATGAATGAAGCTCTCCCCTGGTTGCTCACAATAGTGGTATGGAAAAGATGGAAAACAACACTCCAGTGCAGATAGCGTAGTCATTGATGTTGCTGACTTGATGTGTTGTATTTATATCAGCCATTGGACTCGACAATATAGAACAATCTATTTGCTTCCTGTTACAAGACAATTTTTATACGCCCACATGAATATGTGGTCATATATTGTAGTTGCCCTTGTCTGTCCGTCAACATTTCTTGTGGGCACAATATAGACTACAGTTGATTGTAATGAAACTTGATGTGAGCATTAGGTTTTCATTTGATTGTAATGAAACTTGATGTGAGCATTGGGATTGATAAGACAGCATTCAAGTTCGAAGAACATTTTTGAGTTATTGCCTTTGACTAAGTAAAATCGCGTCAAAATTTTGTTGTGGGCACAATAGAAGCTACAATTTTCAATGGATTTTGATGAAACTTGGTGTGAGCATTGGGATTGATAAGACAGCGGTCAAGTTCGAATTTGACGTTTTTTGATGATACCTCATTATATATCTTTGAAAATTTCACACACAAGAGGAGTGTGATTATTCAATAATTATGAAGATCTTTAATATATTTTTGGTCCATAAAGATTTAGTTATCATCTCTGACAGCTGCCAGGGGGCGTATGTTACTTTGCCTGGCAAGCTATCTTTATTAACTCTGCTGTTTAGGTTTGACATACAGAGAAAAATAAATATCTTCTTATGTGATGTTCAATTGAGAAAATTTATAGATCTTAATCATATATCTAACTTATTATTTCTTTTCTAAAAGCAACAAATCCTGACAGTAAAAATATTTGGGATGAAGAAGAAATTCCAGAAGGTTCGGAGTTTGAATCAACTTTTGATCCTTGCCCACAGCCAGAGTATGTCTCTTTTCAAACCATTTCATATACCACATAGACATCGGTGCAATAGTATCTGTGCTATCCGTTGAGTTGCTCTTAACATTGGAATGGTTTGTCATGTGCCAATAATCGAGTAAACTGTGTTAATGTTTGAAATCTTTAAGTAAATAGTATCTATGTTCAATTCAATAATTAAATAATTTCAATTTATCATCATGTACCTTTGATGTAACAAATAAAATCATATAACCTTATACTAAACTGTTGCACATTTTTGGGGGAATTTTCAGATTTGATATTATGTATAAACAAGCAGTGACATCTGAAGATATATTTTTACAAATGGGAAATAAAACGAATGCTACATCATCTTGTGAAGCAATGGTAGTAAGTAGGCTACATTCATTTTTTATGTATCTGTAATTCACAAGTAAAAATATTTTACTTTTCTTATATTTTTCACTTTGTTTTTTATATTCCCATGTTAAAAACATAAAGTTATATAAGTTGAATAATATATGGGTAATTTATTTTCCAGATAAAAATTCAACTTCCTGGTACTAAAATGGCAGATGTAGATTTAGACGTCAAACCTAAATATTTAGACTGTAGATCTCCCAAATAGTAAGTCTTACATTTAATGTTCATATGTTCTTACACTTTTCTCTTGGTACACTTAATAATCCATGGTCTGCTATGGTTGTGATATATATTAAGTTGCAATAATATTGTGTTTTTGAGATCAAGGCCCCGTATTCTCGAAACGATCTTAGTGCTAGGACGTCCTAGGGCAGATCTAACAATGTTTTTAGGATGCCTACCGCCAAGATTGTTTCTAGAATAGGCCTAGAGTTTTTCAAAACCACTTCTGATACACAAATAAGATTGATTTCTTGTTAGTCATATGTTGAGATAAATTCATCATCTGTAATAATTTCCTTCTGTCAAGGCAATCATGTTTCTAGTAAGTTACCTTACATTTGTTTTTTTTTTGTATTGGGTGCCATAAAAGAAATGCCACACTTTAAGTATACAATAAACTTATATCAATGTTGTATATTTCAGTAAATTAGGATTACATCTTCCCCATCCTGTAGATGATAAATCTGGCAAGGCAGAGTGGGATAAAAAGTTGGAAATTTTAAAAGTGACTTTAACAATGAAGAGAGAATATGATTTTGTGAATATGTAATTGTGATGTGAAATGCATCCGAAGACTACACAAAATATTTTAGTTATTGTGAATTCAATCAACATTTTTTGTAATCACTTCATGGTCATCATCATTAAAAGTTATAAATGTCTCAAATGTATTTATGTGAAAGATCAAAACATTACTGTTTAATACATCTACAAGCTGAATCTGGGACAAATCACATTCTTTTACTGGTTTGTTACAGAATATTTCATCCAATCTGACGAGCTTCAAAAAATGAATCTTCGGGCAATATTATGACACTTTATTGACATTTAACCACATAAAACAATATCTCTTTCTGCATAGTTTTAGTTAGCAATCATCCTAAAAACACATACTTACTATAGAATATACATTAATTTACATCAGTCAATTCTTAACAAATACAGACTGCAGATTTTAATTTTACATGGATTAGGTACTTCATCATCTGATAAAGCAAACTTTAAGTATGCTAACAACTAATTAAAATAAACAGACAACTTGGTTTGGGATATCAAGAAATCTGTCTTATTTAGAGTATAAGTGGTTACTGCAATCATAACATTTAAACCAAGGCAGTTGGAAATAAAAAGCAAATGAGTCCACTAACACAAGAATGCAATATTAGCAATATTAACAACTAGACGTTCTTTCATGATGGATTACAATGGCTAGCATTTACAAATTAATTTGCACTATTCTTTTTCTTTTACTTCTTTCAAATTATAATTGAAACTACGTGTCATGTCCACAGAATTTGCCATACAAGTAATTCTATTTGGAATGAAAGATTTTGTTGAATCTCCCTAATTGTTTAACAACAAATAATGACAAATATTAATATTTATACATTAGACCGTAAATTTAAACCCCCTTAGACACAAATAATCAATTTCCAGTAATTTCAGTGAGAATTTCCATAAATTCCTCTTTTGGAATAACATTTGCTTGTAATGGGTTGATCTCTATCATTTTATACCAGGTAAATAGACTATTGGATACAAAACAAAAGCTTAAATGATAAACAATAACAAGAAAATTAAAATAAACAAGTAATGTGTATAGTAGTATAAAGAGGTACAGTTTTCTGACAACATAACAAGGGTCTAAGAGCCCACCCTGAATATATTTTTTATCAACACCATAATGAAAGATTCTTCTTCAACTGTTCTCAATCATGACAACTGACATTGAACAAAGTACACTCACAATTTAGCACAAGAAGTTTTAGGTTATACATTTTATACATAGTAAAACATCATCTAAACAAAACAACTTTGGTGTACATGTAATTTCATTTTGTTATAATTTTTACATAAGTGAATGAACAAATGCTTATACAAGGATTTTAGACACAATATTTGTTAAGCCATCAACCTAAACCCATTTACAAATTACTGGAATACTGTTTGAAAAAGATCGATAGCTATTTGTAAATAACTCAAACATCATAATACACATTATGGCTAACAGAACAATGCTTTGGCTAATTTCAGAAATTTTAAGGTTTACAGGAGTACATGTCTTTAACCCTTTGAACAAGTCTACCCAGAAAGCCATTTTGCACAGAGTTGATTGGACTGTAATTGATTTGATGCTGAAATGTCTACCAAAAATGTTGGTCTTGGAGATCATTTTGTAGAGATAAGCTACTTCCTTCCTTATAATATGAGGGAGGGATCCATTATCATGGTGTTCCAGAAATCAGTATGTTCAAAAGGTTAAAGGCTGGAAGATCAAGGTAAACAGGCCATGATGTAATAATATTTACAAACCTTAAAATATTTCAGTCTTCTCCACTCTTACACATTTAATACAGCTTATATACATAAATATTACATCTCCTTTTTATAATACACCTTTATCTTTCAATTCATTAAAATTTAACATAAATTATAATATAACTACACTTGACATTATTGAGACCTTAAGGAACTAAGCTTGCTCATTTCAGAGTTAGTATTTTATTTGTATTGCCATTTCTAAATACACTGAGCAAAGTAGAAGGTACTAATGTTTTCTAAAAACAGAGCATTTCTTAGGTTGTACAGTACTCAATTCACTGGCCATTTAAAATAAAGAACGTACTATATTTGTAATTATTATTCAATTTGTTATTATAAAGAATGTTACCCCTCACATAAGGGACTGTTGATTTAAATATAATTGCCAGTCATGTCTGGCTGGAGAGGTAAAATATCAAGTTAAAAATATGGTATAAAAGGCATTTTAAATAAATTTCTGCCATTTTTTTTTTATCAAAATAAGTTACCTCTTAGTTGAAAATAAGGAATTTAGAAAGGGATTTTAAAGAAATTTAGACATCAATAGTTCCCTATTACTAGCATGATGTTAAGTGTTAGTTTTCACTTAGAATAGAAAGGGACTGTCTGTACCCAAGGGCAATAACTCTACCGCCCTATGTTAAAATACCTGAATTAACTATTAACAGAGAACTAATAAAATTATCAACATAAAGTATGGAAACAGAATCAACTTCATAAGAATTCAGCTGGTCATTTTATTCTGTTCTTTTAACCAATCAACAAATTCATCTAATATAACAGGCCCTACAAACATATTTTAAAATAATTTTTAAGATTTTCTGAAAGCAATATACTTTTAATATTGGTAGAACCATTATTTGAACTTTCTAGAAATGTTATTTATCAGCTAATGTTTTTTGTTTTTGCACTGAACCCTTAAAAAAAGGATTTTGAATTTATAAGATTTTCTTTACATTTTGATATTTAGTAAATAAGCAACTTACAAGCACCATCCTCATCATAATTGGAAAGATCATTTGATACAGAACGACTAAATTCTAAAATATTACACCATTGATCTTTATTGATCACTTTATATTTAGATTGCTGCAAGAAACAAAACATAAAATTACACATGTCAATATATACGAATCATATATCCTCATACGACTTCAAATTCTCTAAAAATGGTGCAGAAAAAATGATATTTCTATATTTATCCATCTGGTTAAAAAATAATGCAAATTCAAACCTAAGCAATTCAAGTAAAATCAAGTTATCATTGAAGAACTGATGTCATAAAGGTACTATTTGCAAGTAAAATGTATAAGAGGATAAGAATGCTATGGTAGATCAACCACTGATTCAACAAACAAAACATAATGCAATATAACAAAATAACAACATGAAATTACCTCTAAAAACTGGTGAAATGAAGGATATAAAGACCAATGTTTACCCAATGCTAAAGATAACATAGCTTTAGCTGTATCTATATCCATACTACGTTGATCTTTTTCCTGAAATGATCATAGTTAAAGTTTCCGTTTAAATTGGTGAAAATGTTGACATTTAATTCATATTTATTACTATAACATTTTCTCTCCAAGCTTCCTTGCTTAATTACTCTGTTGTTTACTTATAATTATTACTTATTACTAAGCTTACTAGTATTTTAAAGTTACTTACCCGAGCAAAGTCAAAAGCAAATCTGTAAATATTTTTAAAATGAACAGGATTATCTAATAAAGATTTGAGGTAGTCTAATTTTTGTATTAATTTCTCTGTACTATCACATCTGAAATAAAATATTGTACAAATTTACAAATCAATATAATAGAACTAAATAGCTTGGAATGTGATCAAATATAGCATCATACATGAAATAAATATTAGATAATTGGGTTTCAATTAGAACTCAATTCATTTGATTATGCATTATGATTATATATCTAATTTTCATTTTAAAACTTACTGAATGTCTTTCATACCAGCAGCCCATTCATCTGCTGTAAAATACCCCATTCTATTAGCTTTTAATTTCCATGCCAATGACAACATAACAATCTGAAACAAACAACAAAGTTGAGTTGACATGGCTAAAACCCAAACATCACAGTCCATTGTGGTGATTCAGATAAAGTTTCTTTTATGAATATACATGGTATGAACAGAGTTTTAAAAAACTACTTACATTTTCCGGTTCTACACCAATATCTTCACAGAATTTCTCCATTCCTTCTGGACTGATTTCTTCTTCATCTGGACCTAGAATACAAAAAAAAAAAAACATATCTTAAAAACATATTATTAAATCATGTACTTTTAGATTAAGATTTTATATATCAAAGGCATTCAATACTATTCCAGCATAAGCCCAGACTTAAAAGGCCAATGGTGTGACAGCAAAATTTAGATATGGTTTCTACATTAAAAGGGACATTATTGTGGTCGCATTTTAGGTGATTTCAGAGATGGTTTCACCATATGAACTGAAGCGATAACTACATCCATGATAAAATACTTACATGTGTATTCTCGAAACCAGGCTTCACATCTTTTGGTACTAAAGGAACTGGAAGAATCTTTCTTGTTAGACCTGAAATATATTCCATATAAATAAGTACAGAATATATACATGTATACTTTACTTCTTAAGAAAGATTCATTTCACTCTCAAAATTGTTTTTACCTTATAATATTGATTTTCATGGGAGTTTAACCTGACTCACCTATCTACAAATAATAACAACAACATCAACATCTGTGGTAACACATGACCACTGTGACCGCAATCATGTCATCCACATTCTAGGTCGGGATAAACTTCCATAAAAATTGACATTAAATGTCTGGCCATGTTAAAGATGGGTCCCTTTAATTTTTATTTATGAAAATGAAAATACTAATACTTATATGAATAGAAAGTACAGGAAAATACCTGTTTGTCTCACATGTCCATTATTAGCTCATAATTACCTAAATTAGAAGAGATTTACCAGCAGAATTCCAAGGAGTGACTGATTAAGATCATTATATGCAATAAGAACTAAATGATATGATTAAGAATACATGATAATTCATTCGAAACACCAATTAATCAAACAGTGTGCTTAATTTGAAACTAAAAACATTAGGAAACCCATCTTTAATATTTGGAGACATAAATCCTATATGGATCAGAAATGAAATAGTGTTAAAAGTTTTACTACAACAGACAGACAACACCAGTGTGCAATGATGGAATTTTTTACGAGACAGCATTATAAGGCTACTCTTTTTTAAATTTACGCCAAAGAATATTTCATGTGCTCAGCCTCAGAATCAGTTTATTGTCCATTCCAAATGACTGGAGGCT